AGTTGGAGATCGAGTTCGTATTTTTAAATATAAATCATTGTTTCAGAAAGGTTACGTCGGCTATTGGACTAACGAGATATTCATCGTTGATAAAGTAAACAACACATCACCTCCCACGTATGAATTGATCGATCAAGACAAAGAACAAATCATAGGAAGGTTTTATCAAAATGAACTTCAAAAAACCGACTTTTAAAAATGAATCTCGAAAATGAAGATTTAGATGAAAGGTTAAGAAATTTAGATGTCGACAAGCATTTACGCTCTCTTAAATTAAGATTTTTTAAATTTAAATGTAAATTTATCTTCAAAATATTATTGAATGTTATACAAGTTTTTTCGAACACAAACTACGTATATATTTCGTCAATTGGGTCTTCAGCAATACTTACCGCCTACTTCGAAAAACACCTCAAAAAAATCAACTTAAAAAATGAATGCGTTTCTCGATAAATACGGAAAAGACACGACCACAAATTTTCACCTTGTAAAATGGGCCAAGGAGTTGAACGTCTCGCCGTTTTATTATTGCATGCGAGATGAAATTGATGAACTGAAATACAAGAAAGGTAAATTTTACGCCCTCACAAACATTCACACGTCGGATCAAAAAGGAGTTCATCACTCTGCTTTACACAAAGATTCTTCGAATAACTTTTATTTCTTTGATTCTTTCGGTCTAGAACCGACAGAAGAAATAACGAAATTAATTAGCAAACCAATCAAATGTTCTACGTTTCAAATTCAAATGCCAGGACAAAAGCTGTGTGGACAGCTGTCGCTTTGGGTTTTATATCGGTTGAGTTTGGGAGAAAAGTTTGAAGAAATTATAATAAATTTAACTCAATAAAAATGGCAAACAAGTTTGGATTAGGGTCTTTACCTCTAGAATCTAAAAATCCCATGAGTTCTACGGCGTTTATAAACAAAGCGAAACCTTTTTTCGTGGATTAAATCGGAGACACCCTACAAGGGGATATCGATATGAACAATTTCAAAATAACTAATTTAAAGTTTCCAGGAAACGATAACGATAACGATGCCGTGAACAAGAAATATTTACTAGATCAAATAAACGCAATTCAAATAGATAAGAACCATGTTGAAAATAGAATAACTGACGTGAAAAAATTCATCAGACGAAATATTAAAATCTG